CCACCCCCCCCTGCCACTGCCCCAAACCCCCCAGGCTATCCAACTCGCACTGCCACTCCCTCTGCTCTGCCCTACCTGCACTGCCCTGACTCCCCCCCGCGCCTCTACTCCCCCACTGCCCCAACCACCCCCACGCCACCCAACCTGTGCTGCCCCTGGACAAAGTGGGTCTATGCCCACAGCACTGCCCTGGCTCCCCCCCGCGCCTCTCCTCCCCCACTGCCCCAACCACCCCCACGCCACCCAACCTGTGCTGCCCCTGGACAAAGTGGGTCTATGCCCACAAAAGCTTATTCTCCAATACATCTGTTAGTCTGTAAGGTGCTACAGGACTCCTTGTCGCTTTTGCAGATCCAGACTAACATGGCTACCCCTCTGATACAAAACATATAGATGGTATCATGAGCGTTCGTGGGCACAGCCCACTTCTTCAGATGACTGAAGAAGTGGGCTGTGCCCACAAACGCTCATGATATCATCTATATGCTTTGTTAGTCTATAGTAGTGGTCACCAAACAGTAGATCAGGATCTACTGGTAGATCTTGGAGCTTCTGACAGCTGATCCTGACTGGTTTGGCCAAGAGGCTATCAAGTGCCAGCACTTTAGCTGCTCCTCCTCCCGCTGTGCATCTCCAGCCCTTTGCCTTGGAGCTGTTCCCCCAAGAGCCTCCTGCTTGCTGGGCAGGGCAGGGAGAGAAAAGAGCGGTGTTGATGTCAAGGTGTCCGCTTCTTGTACCCTGTATCCTATCTCTACAGAGCGGAGATGGGGCACAACAGGATTAGATATGGAACAAGTTTGTTGCCTGTTTTTGGGAGTGGTGCAGGGCTAGGATGGGGTGAACTTGCCTTAGCCCCATTGCACCCAGGAGCCATGTGAGGTAAGCAGTGTTCAGCTGGAGTCCATATCCTGATCCCCTACCCAAGTCATGAACTGCCTCTTATACCTCAAGCCCCTGCCTGAGCCCTCCTACATCCAAAAACATTTTCCCAGAGCCTGCACCTAGAACCCCCTCCTGCAGCTCAACTGTCTGCCCCAAGCTTAGCTCAGAGCCCCTCACACTGTAAATCCCTTAACCCGCAACCAGAACCTGCACCCCAACACTCTGCCCCATAGTGAGTGAGGATGGGGGAGGATGGAGTGAGCAGGGGCGGAGCCTCAGAGAGAGGTGGGGTGAGGCTATTTGGGTTTGAGGTAGATCTTGGCTTGTGCTTAAATTCAGAAAGAGATCTTGTGCTTAAAAAGGTTGGAGACCACTGACTCCATAAAGTGCTACCAGACCAGTTTTTGTTTTTTAAATTTATGAAAATATAGGGTTAGTGTCTAGGGCTCTGGTTGAAATGCCAAAGGCCTGCAACCTGCTGTTTAAAATCACAAAACATGTCTACTTGGCTAGGGCCATGCTTGTGAAAGGGAAGGAAAGAGGGACTGATAGCATTGGTGAGAACTGAGTCCCACGTGGGGAGAGGAGACTAAAAGAGAAGGAAGCTGCCTGCTTCGTGGGTGTTTCCATTGAGTCACAAATTATTTCCTTCTGCCTGCTCTGTGCTGTCATTGCTGGGAACCCGGGGGTAGGACTGTACCATGAAAAAGAAGAAAGCATTTGTTTGCCAAAGGTAAATGAGTGGGCTGGGAATGCAAATTCCATTCTGCTTAGTAGGGTGTGTGTAATAAGGAAATGTGCAATAATGTTTACCCATTGAAAGAAACAAGTTTGTACAGCGCCTGCTGTGAAAATGAAGAGCGGAGCAGAACAGTGCTGCCCACTCACAGGCTTGGGACAAAGTTACCTGATAGCAAAATTCGCTCTCCAGCCCTGAAAATGAAGATTGGATCAGGCAAGTTATACTAACGAGGTTCCACCCCCACCTCACTCTGTCTCTCACTGTCTTATGTAGCCGAAGAAACTTTTTACCCTTATCTGATTACTTGCTAAGGAATTGTGTTGTGAACTGTATGTTTTACTGGCTTGACTTGTATTTACGTTTATCTTTGTTGAAAGTATAAAAGCTATTCTGTTTTTCTCCTACATGTTGAATGCCCAAACTTCCTGCTCTGGTAATTGGAGGAGTCATAACATTGGTCTTTCTTATCGGGACTATGATCCATATGCTGTAGCTGAAATTGTTTGAAAAAGGTTTCATTAAAGTCATTCACTTGTTAGAATTGATATGAGTAGCACGAAAGAATTAATAGAATTCTAGTTACTTTTGCTCAGTGTCCCCTTATCTTTCCTGGAGACTAATACAGCAGTACTTATCACATCTGAGACCAGAAGACATATTCGAATATGAAGGTGTAAATGTGGAAGAGCAGTTTTAGGTGACTTACTGTGGAACATTCATGTTGTCTAACTGCTAAAAACATCTCTCAGATATTAATGAAATTCAGCTTTATCTCCAGCTGCTGTCAGAATTAAACTATGTAAAAAGGAAGTTTAGAGGCTAGACTTCATGCATCAGTACGAACTTTGTTGGCAGAAACTCATTTTTCTTTCTTATGGTTATTTAACCCAGAAAAGCTCATTTAAATCTTTTCTATTCCATATCAAAATTGAAAATTCAAGAAGATATTTGTCACCATGAAAACCTGCTGAGAGATCCCCTCCCTGCAT